TACAATGGATTAAGACACAGATAGACCTGTATTTAAACAGAATGGCCAATTTGAAAAAGAAACACCGAAACAAGATTAAATGTTTCTTTTGCTGAAATTTGACAGTTTCAGACTTTTTTTATTTGCTTGTACTTAGAGGAAACATTTCAATGTTAAAATTAACTTGCTCATTGTCTGAAACGCAGTCTCCAAAGCTAGTGGGATATTTTTTTTGCAATTATTTAATTAATGAGTTAAATTGGAAAATTTAAATAGTATAATAATATTGAAAGCTATTACCTTCTCTCACAATTTACTATACCCTCAGTTTTATACGTCCTTTTTCATTTAAAAACAATTTTCTGATCGTGAAAATAACATTTTATCCGAAATATCTATCATTCTCAGTATCCGAATGACTAAGATTGCTGAACTTGCTAATTCGATCCAGACTTGAATCTTGACCCAGTATATGGGTAAAATGCATGAAAGGGTAACTTTCAGTAGATTCCCCGCTATCAAAAAACTGAATTTGTTTTATGCATATGTATTAAAATTTAAATTCCTACAAGAATTCTGAAATAAGCCCGATGTTAAAATCGGCTTTAGAATCAAAGTTATAATAAAAAAAGGCTTCCAAATTTTTACTGTTTAAAAATCCGGACGGTTTGTTTACGACTGCACTTCAGCAAATTTCTTATCGAAACTCCTGAGTTATAGAATATATAAAAATAAGAGTTAAAAACTTATGACCAACAGGCTAACAGGAAGGACATTACAGTAGTGTCATTAGGTTATACTAAAGAGCAGTCAAATAATTTTCATTAGAGCCATGATTTTGAGTTATACGTGAAAGATTATAAAAACGAAAGTCATGAAATAATTCAAAAAGTACAAAAAAAAAATTGAAACGATAATATAAGTTCGTTAAAAAACTTTTAAATCTAAATAAAGGATGTTTCAAAATGTAATAAAAAAATTTAATCTATTAAATCTATCATCGATATACATACATGTGTGTGTATTATATATATATATATATATAATGGCCTTCAAAAGCTGCCAGAAATAGTATTAATCTGAGAGAAAAAAAATCGACAGCATTCCTTTTTTAAATTACCTTCCTGTATGTACATTTTGTGCTATTCCGATGGACATATAATTATTGGCAAATTCCGATGGCTGTAGAAGTAACATGGCAGTAATATTAATTGGCAAAAATGTAATTATTTGTAGTTTTGTTTGTTACGTTGATGATGGGCCTGCGGTGAACAGTTTGAAATTGATTAAATTGTCACATACATGATATAAATTAAGAAATTAGCTATTAATGTAGAAACCAATCATAGCATGGTTTCTGTTTTTACAAAATGCAATTATGTTTCAAAAATTGAACTTCTCTTTCCTGCAAACAAATACCATTTCAAAGTGCCGCAAGTAGCTCACGAGCAGCAGTTTAGCCATACCTGATATGCTATTAAATGACATTATTACAGATGCAGTCACTTGCCTTACAGAGAAGATATCATTTTCAAATGATTTAGGCTTTATTCCCCTTCCGTTTATACGGTTAAAACTATTTAATGTTTTCAAAGATTCACTGAAAATAATTTGATATGTAAATTAATGTAAAATGAATGCCTAATGTAAAACTATCATGAGTATTTTCAGGATTTTTTTCCTACGTGAATATGAGTTTGTTTTCCTTAAAAAGTTCCAGACAAAGGCTTCTATAATCATGCTACATTCAGTGTTTGAAAAGCTTTTCATTTCAGCTTTCTATTTCTCGACCGCCCCCCCATTTGTAGCGTTATTGTTGTTGAACACTGGTTGAATTTGAAATCGACATGGGTTCGATTTCAAGTAAACGGGCTGGCTGCATGGGCCTTTTCGAGGTTTATCTCGCGAGTAGCGTGGGTGTGAACCTTTTAGAAAGTTCTCCACAAAAGCATCTCATCCATTATGCACATAGCCCTGGCGTGCTTCTCTATAATCAAATAAATCAAACATCCCTTTTTGTCCCAACTAAGCCATTTACTAAATCAAAGAAAAAACAAACGCCGAGTATTTGTAATCTCCTCTGATTAGAAAAATTACAAAATTTTCAAGTAAATAACAGTCGTATCTATTACCATTTTAATAGTAAAAAACTACTTCTAATGGCATCTAATGATATATCGAGCGGAAAAGGTCGCTAAACATTGTAATTCGATCCAGGATCAAACACTGTAGAACGGACTGGTTGCATGGACATTTTGTGGTTTTCGCTATATGCCATGTGAATAAGAACAAGTTTTCCTTAGAAAGTCCTCAACGAAAGGCATCCCTGCTATTATGAAGGTATGTCTAAGTGAGCTAGCAGATATTCGTGTAGCACATCAGGGAACCCCGATATGGCCAGCATGTCGCATTATGCAGGAGTTTACTTGTAGAGACATTTCATTTTTTTTTTTTTTTTGAAAACAGGAGTCATGAAAAATGAGCAACGCTTTTGCCGGAAATCGAACCACGGATCTCTGAAATACGCGCCCAGACCACTACACCAAGAAGGCACGCTAAGAAGGTGGGAGAAATACCTTATATACTGCAAGAAAAGAATCTTTTATATTACGATCAGTATTCTTGTTTATTATTTTTCCATCGGTCTCTATTACGTGAGTTATTATTATGTTATATTTATTTCAGTTATTTTTATGGGGAAAATTTTAACTCGATTCTTGAGAATATTGATATTTGTACGCATTTTGGGCCGTTAGTATTAATAAAATCCTATGCAGGTTTTTCTCATAGAATTTGGCCTTACTTAGAAATTCTGATTCAACTGTTGGTTTATTAGATAATGGCACATATTTTATTAGATAATGGTTTATTAGATAATGGCCTGCAGTATATAAGGCACACGTGAGCTATCTGCCTAAGAGGGGGGATGCCTTAGTGGAGAACTTTCAAAGAGAAACAGACTTGTATACACGTTGCACATGGAGAAAATTACGAAAACGCCCATGCAGTCTGCCCTTTCACCTGGAATCCAACCCAGGTCGAACTACAAGTATTCAGCGATTTTACCGCTCGGCCGCTTGTAGGACCTGCTTTGATTGTTAACGAAATACAGATATTCCTTCGTTTGAAAACTAATATGGTAATACTCTCAACTCTAGATTATTTGGATAATACCGGAGACGTCACACATGATTAATTAAAGTAATGGTTAGCCCCAAAGACAGTTAAAAAGACATAGCAAAGAGGAGAAAACCGTATTATGATTAACCCCAAAATACCGTTGATTTACCACCAAACTTTGAACATACGTAGTTCTTCGTCAGAACACGTGCCCTTCGAAGCTTGAATTTTGAATTTGTTTTCCATCTATTTTATGTTTTTGTTAACTTCTAGAAATTCTGAATAATGATTTTAATGGTGGACGCTTGTGGCTTACAGCCGTTGGCCATTACAAAGGCTAGATGCGGTGGTTTCTTTATTACGGAGTACATAATAAGTGGGCTATCATTGCCTTTTATGAAAGGATGGACAAATCAAATCCCTGCCATCTCCGGAATTCGAACCCGGGCCTTTCGATACGGCACTCACTAATCCGTCTGGCGGCAAATTTTGATTAATAAACTCTGCTATTTAAAAGAAATGCTATTCCACTCGGGAATGCAAAAGATATTTTTGTTTCAAATTTAAGCGGAAAACTCAACGATTTCAAGTAGTGTGTTACCCTTCTGCAAGGTGTAAGGTATTTGTCTTTCAAATTTAATCAACAGACTCTGTAATTTAAAAGAAAAGGGTTGTCAAATAGAAATGTGTTGTCAAATTTATCTCTTCTTCGCGCTACTGTGTTGCCATTCGGCAAAGCGTAAGATATTTGTTTTTCAAATTTCTGTTTGTTATTGATTAAGAAAACTAATGATTTAGATGTGATTAAGCATACTTCTGTATTATTATTATTAATGGCTAGCTGGACCCAGAAATTGCAACAATTATATTCATTAAAATCATTATATATTTATTACTTACTGTAGATGCTGGCAGTACAAGCAGATAGTTAAAAGAAAAAGATACACTCTGCGAATAGCGAAAGAATAAACCGCTTTCGAAATGAAAAAAACTAAGTTTAAAATGGCGTTGAGGAACAACATTTACAAGAGAATTTGAACAACGTCATTGAATTCAAATTCGTCTCAGATAGTCGGTTTGAACGTTTTGTTTTGAGGAAAAATTCATTTACCACAGAGCATCATACTAGATGTTATACTATATTTTCATACTATTTTGTAATTTGCGTAAACAATTTTGTTTTACGCTAATGCCTTGGTATAGTAATTTTTCCACAGCTCTGCAGAGAAACAAAATTAACTTTTTTTTTCTCTAGGCAGGACCAAGTAATCCGCCTCAGATTAATCAGCAGTTGACCCAAAGCAAGAAATGACTTCGTAGAAGACCTTCTAAAGGAAACTGACTGTTATCCACCCTACACATGCGGAAAACCGCACAAATACCAGTCCGTTCACCAATATTTTAATCCAGGCCAAAATACCAATGCTCAGCGACTTTATCGCTAAGCAGCCGGTCAGCCTTCTTTCAGGTTTATACCAGATACACCAGCGGCTGAGAGGTAAAGTCGTTGAATACGGATCATTCAACCCGGGTTTGAATCCTGGTGAATCGACTGGCTACATGGACGTTTTCGAGGTTTTCCGTATGTGTGTCGCAAATACTAACCAGTTTCTTTAGAAAGTCCTCCACGAAAGCATCCCTACCTTGAGGTAGATAGTCTAGTTCTCGTGTGCCTAGCCACAACCAAATAAAGAAAGCCAAACCAGGTTTATATCAGGGTTTACGTTTCATGCATTTCAGTATCTAATGTACGTTTTATGCACTTTTACCGTCTTATTTTAGTTTTATGTGCATGTTTATGTAGGTTTGATGTATACACAATATATATTTAATTTTATTATTTAACCAATATAACGTGTATACCCCAATACTCTTTATATATATCTCTTGTATGCCAATAGCCCCTCTGCAGCGGTTTGGAAGTGAAAATGAAATTGCAGTTTCTCAATAAACTCTCGATGAGGTGCCTTTGGTCACAGTGTAGAAGACGGATAATGGAGGACGTCCATTATTTAGAGGAGCTAATCCTCCAATATCCACAGGATAATTCTCTATATAACGGAGGACGAGGGCATATATACCTGCTTACCAATGTTAGCCACCAGATGTCTCCGCCCTCTATCACTTACCTACCTATCTTCCTACTCGATAGAATTTTCCAGGAATAGCAGGTGTTCTAAAGATAAGAGAAAAAAATTGTCAATATCGGTGATTTTTCGTCGCCGTTTCAACTGTCTCTTCAAATCACAGCGAGACTGCCACCTAAAGAAGAACGATCATTTGAAAAGCTTCATTGATTTATAAAGTCTGAATCTTGAAAAATGTGTTAAGAATATTATTTACCATTTTTTTCAAACATGTTTCTTTTCTCATAACTCCGTTGTTTCTCCACTAGGAGAACTAAAATAGCCGCCTTGTATTACATGATTCCTTTCTGTTCCAGTAATTATGTTCAACAAGATGACATAAAAATTAAGCAACCTGGATTTTACTCAATGACAATGCTGCAAATCATTCGCAGCTATTGTTCGTCGACTGGAGAACGCGAATCTAATTTGTTTGAGTATGGGAGAAACGTTTAGTATCTTGTACATTCAGAAATAAAATGATCTCTCATTGTAAAAATTTCTGCTTGAAAATATGGATCTTAATATCTGTTTTAGAAACCCATTCGCCAAATAACTTTCTGCTGAAACATACATGCTCCAGTGTTGCGTATTAATTGAAATTGTGCAGCTCTTACCTCTTAAACAGTGTCATTTTCAAGTCCTATACGTGGGGCCAAATGATCAAGACCGCTGAATACTAGCAGTTAAACCTGGGTTCGATTCCAGGTGAAAACCCTGACTTCGTGGTTGGCTTGATCCGGTTACTGTAATTGGTACTTTAACTGAATAACTATAATTGATCCTTATATGTAACTGTCATCGTATCTAGCCGTTAGATGTAACTTTAACCATATATGTCTTTCGGTAGTGCCCACCAGCGGCCGAGAGATAAAGTCGCTGAACACTGGTAGTTCGGTCCGAGGTTCGAATCCCGCGAACGGGCTGATTGCATGGGAGGTTTCGTGGTTTTCCCCATGCGTAACGTATATACGAGCCAGTTTCCCTTAGAAAACCCTCCACGAAGGCATCCCTTCCCTTAGGCAGATAACCCTCGAAGCTTTGCCATAATCACACATACACAAACGTCTTTCGGTAATTTTAAGAAATAGATATTTCTTGGCGATCAGGTGAAAAATATGTAAGATCGGAGAGAGAGAATCTGCTCTGTTTTTCAGTACAGAATAGAATTCGGAGTACTGATAGACCTCTGTGCGAGCTTCGCTCTTCAGATGCGCTTTGCATAACACTGCGTTTAACGTTCTTAGTAGTCTGAAGCGTAACTACTGATTGCACTCGTGATATTGAGAAAATCCGTGCGAGTATTTTTTGGTGGAAAGTTCCAGAACCGTAAATTGTTTCTTTTGATAAAAATAAATTTTATCAAGATATCGGTTCGGTGTGCATTCATTCTGTTACGAACCCGTACGCACGCAGCAATATATTGCATCTGTGCATCCTGTAAGTGTAGATTATGCAATGTAAGTTTTATGCTTTAATTTGAAACAAACTAAATAATTTTAATCATTGATGTGTTATACTACTCTTTCCTGAATTTAAACTGGCAGAATTGCTTTATGAAAGTAATACGAAAGCTTACGAAGTTTCTTTTGTTTTTAATCAGCGGTGAAGTGATATCTCACTTTGTCTAAACGCGAAACTGGAGAAATCATTCAACGACTTTTCCTACTTAGTATTTTCTAGTGCTGTATAACAAGCTATATTAATACACTAAATACTTTTCGATTTGGGGGACTTCCCAGTGATTCAGATTAAAAACGGTTTTTTTTTTTTTTTTTTTTTTTTTTTTTTTTTTTTTTTTTTTTTTTTTTTTACGTTTCTCTATCCTACTGTTGCGGACAGTAGAAAAGCTACTAGATCGTGACTGAATTTTCAACCAAACTGAAAACTGTCACGCAGCAGGAAAAACACCCTTTCTAACCCAATCAATCGGCAGTCTGAGACTTAGTGCCTCGCAGATGAATGTTGGGAACAGATTATAAACGTACATTTCTCCTTCGGATATATTACGCTCAAGCCCCGTCGAATTCTCTAATCATCGTTAAGCCGATGTTATGTAAGTATAATATATAACTTATAATAGACAGAAATAATAGCATTAGTTCTCTGGAAAGATTTTGCATGTAATTACTGTTAAAGAAAGTTCTTTATGAACAGGTACACAATTCCATAACAGAGGCATTGTTTTGTATTTTCAATTTATTTTCGGTAACCGCAGAACTGAAGCTTTTTAAAGTACTCGAAATAAATATAACCATGAAAAATATTTTGCTAAAAAAATACTTAGAACAAAACATCCGCGGAAAACATTTCTCTGAGCAGCTTAATCGGTGAAGTCTCTGAACACTGGTCATGCGAGCTATGTTCGACTCCAGGCGAAAGGTCTGGCTGCATGAGAGTCTTCGTGGTTTTCCTCAAGTGTAACGTAGATACGAGCTAGTTTCCGTTAGAAAAACCTGCATGAAGGCACCTTCTCTTAGGCAGATAGCCCTCACATGCCTTGCTATAATACAATAATTCAAACGAAACCATTTTCCTCTCCCCCAACGGCCCCCTGAAATATATATTTCCAGCAAAATATCACCTGAAAGTGTTTTTATAAATAACAGAAAAATAAGGTTTGAAACAAAATTAAATATCTTTAGGTTTTGTTTTCTGGCAGCACTAACACAATTCTTTTAAATCGCTGAGTTTTCTGATAAAATTTCAAACCTAAATATCTTACGCTTTGCAGAGTGGTCATTAAGTTAGCTCAAAACATTAAATAAATAAATAAAAAAGCAATAATAATTTGAAAGGGTTCAGATTTTAATGGTTGCCCAAAAGGATTTGTTAAAGTTTTTATACACTGTCACTGAGCTGTCAGTATACCAGGCTGCCGTTGCACTCATTTCTTTTTGTCTTTTTAGCTTTGTTATTAAGCATCATTTTCTCTGTATTTACGCCATATAAAATTTAACAGAAAAATTGTAAAAAAATTTAAAAGCAGCATATGTTTAGAATTCTCGAAGGTGTTAAGTAATGGCATAAAAACATTTCTCTATTTTTTTCAGTCTTTTCGTAGATCATCATATCAGTGTTCAGTTTTCTTAGTAAGATGGGTTGCAAAACGTTTTCTGTATTTCTATAACTAATGTTTTGTGTTGTTAAATTTATTAATTATGTTAATAGCATTAATATCATGTTCTTGATGTATTTTTAATGTCATGTTCTTCGCACTTACGCCACATAAATTTCAATTCAACAGCAAAAAGGCAAACTATTTAAAAACAGTATATCTTGAGAATTTCCGATAGATGATCTCGTATGTTTGGCAGCACTGTACGAATAAAAATGCTTTATTCCGTATAGTGTTACCACTGCTCACTTTCAAACCGTTGAGTTTGTTAATCAAAAATTCATTTAAAGTTTTACAAATATGAAATATAAAATTAGAAATTCAAAATTGGAGCTTCCAGGTGCACATGTTAGGGTGGAGGACTACAATACAAAATTTGATGGCCCTAGGTACCGTCGTTTTTCACAGTGTGCATACGTGCAGATTCTTCATTATTTGATTTCTTTAAAAATAATACAGGGCGATAATATTTGATGGAAACAATTTGCAAAGTGGTTCACCGTTTATAGTCGATGACGCAAAATTCCGTTTCGAGACTAATAGCCCATTCTGACTAACGCTCTTTCGGGCTATTAAAAAAACAATTCTAAATTAAAATTTCGGCTTTGCGGTGCACATGTTCAGGTGGAAGACTACATGAGTTTAAAATTTAGTGGTTTTCCGCGGTGTTTTCAGAGTGCGAGGGAAAAATATACATGTACACATATAGATTCTTTATTATGTAGCAAAATAAAAATGCATTAACAGTAGATATTTAGCTTTTATAAAAGAAAGGCACTTGAAAGGTCTGGAAGAATATCATTGCCATATTTTATCCCTTTTTGTAAATTCGACAACGTTTAGTTAGGTGGTTGCAATAATACCCAAGAATTTTTCTAGGCTATTATTCTACTCAGTTTAGCCTTGTTAGATTCATTATTTTTTGTCTTGTTGATTCATTACTTTCGCATGAGACCTAATCTAAAGGCTGATATATACTAAATTTTTAATATTACGAGATATTTTCATGTTATTGAATACTGAGTGCATGTCAAAGCTGTAATATTGTGTAAACTTTCTGTGTCCCCAAAACTAATGGCTCACTGAGACCCATCAGCGGCCGAGTGATAAAGTCGTTGAACACTGGTAGTTCCGTTCGAGTTTCGAATCCCCCGAAAGGAATAGCTGCATGGGCGTTTACGTGGCTTTGCCTATGGGTAACTTGCAAATACCTCCACGAAAATATCCCTTCCCTTAGGCATATAACCCTCGAGGCTTTGCCGTAATCTCATAAACCTTAACCTAAACCTAATGGCTCAACAACTGCTGAGCAATAAGCCAAAAAATAAAAAACGAATAACGCAAATAGTGACAGAAAATACTCCCATCTCTGCGAATAAACTAGCTACATGAGAATTTTTGAAGTTTACGTGTCAGTTTTTCTTTTAACGTCCTCCAAGAAATCCCCTTTTGCCCATAGCCCGCAGGGAGTTTACCGTAATCCAAATAATATAATCAGAAAGCTAAATAGGTTCTTCAACTGTGAAATAGTTAAAATCGCCAAACGGCGAATGGGTCTGCTCTATGTACGTTTCTCTATTTTTCCAAATGTATAACTTGATTGCAAGGCACTTCCTTTAAAAATTCCTGCACGGAAGTATTCCCTTCCTTAGACTCTCATACTTTGCCATATTCGACTCTTGTAACAAGTACACTTAAAACTAATTCAACAATTATGCTTATCTAGAATGTAAAATCGTCTTTTGCAGAGGCTGTTAGCATATTTTTAGACGACTTTCATTGTAATTACAGAAAAATTTTACCTAACATTTTTATGTTTGAAATGTTGTATTTGATAACCCTTATTCTTCACTGCCTTTATACACCGTCGTTTCTAAGACAATAAAGCCTTTTGTAGTATCGGAAGAGGTATTTTATCCCATTGCTCTCGAACAAGGTCCAAAGTCTAAGGAGGTTGTAGGTCGACTTTTGAACAACCAGCTTTTTAAAAGTCCAAAACGCAGAAATGCATTGATGATAGATGAGGAGATTTATTAGGAATATCAGAGAAAGATGTAGCCTCGATACCCGTCGCTTTT